CCGGGCACCCCGCACTCAGACCGGGCACCGCGCACTCAGACCGGGCATCCCGCACTCAGACCGGGCACCCCGCTCTCAGACCGGGCATCCCGCACTCAGACCGGGCATCCCGCACTCAGACCGGGCACCCCGCTCTCAGACCGGGCACCCCGCACTCAGACCGGGCACCCCGCTCTCAGACCGGGCACCCCGCTCTCAGACCGGGCATCCCGCACTCAGACCGGGCACCGCGCTCTCAGACCGGGCACACCACGGGCACTCACGGGGCGGCGGCCGCAGCAGCAGCGAGAGGGCGATGCCGCAGAGCAGCCCCCGGCCCCGCATGGCTCCGGGCAGGGACCGCTCTCCGCCGCCGCCGCCGCCCTATAAACCCGCCCGGCGCCGCCTGTCCCCTCCCACCGCACCACGGCCGCCCCGCAGCCCCCTCCTCTCCGCTCTCCCTCCGCACAGCCCGGGATTCTCCCGCTGCCCCGCTCCGGGGCAGGGGAAAACCTCAGCACCTCCCTGGGGCTCCCTGTGCAAAACCTCCCCTGCAGCGCCTTCGCCAGCACGGAAATCCATTGTGCCTCCCAAGCTAGGAAAAAGGGGAGAGCAGGGGAAGGAAGGAGCTCAAGAGCTGTTTATTTATTTGTTTGCTATATTTATGTGTAATCTTATCATAGCTGATCCCATGTTTCCAGAGACATCCTAAATTTCTCCATTCCCGGGAAGTATATTACTCCTGTACCGCTGAAGGGATGCAGGATAGATTTTTATGTGCCTGTATAAAAGGGCAGAAGCAAAAGGATGTTTTCTGCCTCTCTCCCCTTACGGTCGATGGGAGGGCCAGGCATGAGGAAGGACTTGGGGACATCCACAGCTCGTATTCCCAGTGCTGCCCTTCAGGGATATCCAGCCACTGCCACGAGGCTCCCGAAGGAGCATCCCTGTCTTCTCCTGCATCCTTCAGGGCTGAGCCAAGGCTTCTGCCACACATCACCTCTTTGCTGGATCTCTGCCCTTCAGGGAGCTGAGCACCTGGGGGACTGCACGACTGTGTCTCTCTGCTGAATTAACCCGTGGGGTGTGGTCACACCAGGACAGGAGAGTCCAGGTTAGTGGGGTCACACTGAGGTTACCAGCTGCAAACACTGGGGGACTCCACGCTGCTCTAGGAGCTCCTTGCACACGCTGAGTCCACAGACAGCAGCTGCCTTCCCTGTGTCAGTGTGTGACTCCCAGCCAGCTCAGCTGCAGCCCCACTCAAGGCTGCCAGGGTTGGCTGACACGGATTTTTATGGGGTCAGCTCCGAGTGGCAGGAAGAGCCATTACCTCTTAGCCACACTCTTCAGACAGACATTGATCTGCATTTTCCATTCAACCCTTTCCATTCATCTCTATACTTCAAGTGTCTGTGTAGGTGAACCAGCAGGGAAATGAGAAATGGGGAGAATTTGCTTGTGGACAGGTTTTCAGAGTATCAGAAAATCAGGCGGTAGGAAGTGAATACTTCCTTCAAAATAAAGGTTTGCCAGATAACAGTAATGATTTTGTCTCTTGTCCAGAGGATTATTTATGCTATTGAAAACTCTAATGTCTTTTGTTCTGAAGGTTTTTGCAGGATCCTGCCAGGGCTACCCAAAGGAAAGGTCACTGTTCCATTTTGCAGATACCACTTTGGTTTATATCTCACATATGTCCCCTTTGTCCCCCAGCACTTCACAAACTGAATCTCTCTGATCTTGTGAAGGTCAATTTATTCCTGGTATCACCCAAGCAGAGCAAAGTCAGGCACTGTAGGAACACCTAGAGGGAATAATCAGGGTCAGAGGGCTATAAGTGACATTTTAGCTGACCCATAGAGTGGTCATGACCTTTCATGGCACAACTAAATCTTCTTGTTTCAAAGAGCAAAAAATACAGGGGCAAAAATTTCAGCTCTTTTCTAATCCTATGGAATATCCTGAAGGGAAATCTTCCCTTTTTTTTTTTTTTTATTTTCCTGTGAATTCCCCTACTTATTTATAGCTGCCTGTAATATAGAAGAAAACAATGGCATTATTGTGCATGTCTATATTATAAATAAGTAAAAATAGAAGCCAAATTTAGACACAAATTTAGCTACCCTGCTTTCATCCCCCCATAACATTTCTGCCTACCAGAAGGAAAAAAAAAACACTTTGATGAGGAACATGTATGCTTTTACTAAAAGATTGTCACAAATATTCTCAGTACAATAAATCTTCACAGGCACTGCTCCATATATTTCTCTAAAAGAAGGTCAACTCAAAAAGGCACAAAATGGAATAAAATTACCCTTATGTTAAGATTATTAAAATACTTAGGCCAACAACTATCTGCTTGTGATTGTTTTCAGCATTCAAGTATCATAAAAATATGTGCAATATTTGCATTTGTTATATAGTGATATTTTTACCTTTGGATCTTGGTAATATGAGAACAGATATCTCACTTTAAAACCACCAGAAACTCCCTGTATAAAAATATAATGACAAGCTGTGCAGTGGATATATATAGGTTAATCTATCTATATATATGGTGTTATTATTTGTATTACTGAGACATTGTTGCATGGAAAAATTCAGGGTATTTTAGCCTTAATAACAGTGCTCAGTTGCTGTAATGCTGCTTCTGGCAGAGGGTGAGTCAGATCCTGCCTGTGCCCATCTCTTCAATATCTCTTCCCCAAAGTCAGTGGGACATTTGCTGGACTTCACAGAACAATATAAGACTTCTGGTTTTCTAAGAATTACACAGGCTCAAACTCATCTCCTGCAGGATCCAAACTGTCTGATTAAGAGAATCAGCTGGGAATTTAAAGTCTGCTGTGTTCCCTCATCTGTTACATCCCCCGTGGCCAAGGCATGGAGCAGCAGCCTCTGTGCAGCACCTGGAGCAAGGTTGAGGTGTTTCAGGCTCCCCAGGGAAAAGCTGATGACAGAGCTTTTGCAGAGGGGCTTCTGCACTTGCTTGACAATTTTCAAGATGATTTAATGCTATTGTTGTCAGCTGGAGTGCAGAAGATGAGGATTCTCCCATTATGTTCATAGTAAATCAGGAATTAGGCAACTAGAAAGAAATGGACCCAGGGAGAGGAAAATGCCCGTTGAAGAACCAGACTTGAGCAGAGAATGTCTGAGACGTGCACCACAGCTCAGTAATATTCCATGTGAACTCCCTCTCAGGAAAGGCTGTGGAGCAGAGTGCTCTGAGAAGTCTCCTGCTGACACTGAAGGAAACTTTACCCAGAATCAAAGTCTTAGCAGGAGAAGGGAGAGGACTGTCCTGCCTAACCTCTGCATTACAGACACACTCACTGATGAGAGCAATGTTACAATTTGGCTGACTTGAGGGGAATGTGAAATGTCCCATTTTACAGAACATTCTTCTGGTTCAGATCATTTGAAATGATCAAAGGAAGGAAGCTGTGAATCTGTTAAGGAAACTGGAGATTCAAGAATTACCTCCTTTATCCAGTGTCTTAACAGTTGAGAGTAGCTTCAGCTGACCCAGAATACTCTGTTCAGCTCTGCTTTTCCACTACCCATGTAGGACAGCAGGAATATTTGGAAGGGCCCTGGAGCAGCTGTCCTGCCAAAGAGGGAGAAGTGCTGTAAGATGATCAGGAGCTAGACAAGGGCTTGTCCTGATGTGCTGATAGCAAAAGGGTATCAAAGCACTCCCTGTGCTTCTTTTAAAGGGTGGGTCACTGCTACCACTTTCTGCTGAAACTTTTGCTTCATTCCTACAGGCAAGTGAACTTGAAGATGATTGTATCTGCAGACACATCTTTTAACTCTATTTCCATATGTGAAACACTTAATAATCCTCTCTGTGCTGCCTGCAACCTTCTCCAACACAACAGTGACTATACAAGTTAATTTTGTAATGGTTAATTCTAATAAGAAAAGGGAAACAGGCATAACAGTAAAAGGGCTTTTACTAACATCCAGTCCATAAAGCTGTCCAGTAATTTTGGAGAAGAAAGTTGTCTCTGTAAATGGATAGCAGTGATGTACTGGGAAGCATTGAGTGTCTAGACTTTTACAGTAGCAGGAGGAAAACAAACTTCATGTGTTTTTCAAGCTGAGAAGGACACAAGGCGGCTTTTAGTTTAGATTAAGGTAAACAGTTAAGAAGAAAACAATTATAAGAAAGTAGAATATGTCCCTCTTATGCCCCAATTACCCTCTGCACTGCCATGAAGGCTTGCAGCAGGGCACACAAGGCACTGGCCCTGCCAACAATGGCCACTTCACGCATTTCAGGAGAAGTAACAGCACTTGGCACAGATACTTGGCACTTCAGGAATCTGCATTATGGGAAAGTTTGTGGGTAAGCTGAAAATCACCTAGAAATGGAAACTAAAAACCTCTTCTATCACACTGCCAGACATGCTGAAGGAGGATGCAGAAAAAGCCAGGTTTGAGTGGTTTGTTTGTGTAACTTTCACTTCTGTTGTAGACAAGACAGGACAGCCTTCAAGAGAGCTCAGCTGAGGTCTGGCTGCAGTGACACAGACCTGCAGACACAGATGCCTAACAACTACTCCAGGACATCAGCTCTAGCTGGGAGGGAAGAAGGGATCACCCTCACATGCAGTTTCCCATTAGTATATCCAGGATATGTGGAACCAGTCTTCCCTTTCTCTGGGCTTGGTGGAATAAATCACAACAGTTGTGCACTATTCTAGATTCTGGTGCATTGAAATATGTTTGATATCCTACCCCACAGGGTATAAAAAGAAAGATGGGAGAAGAGGGAAGTTAGAGCTAGAGAATAATCTCACAAACAGCTGTTTTATACCCCAAAACACACTTGTGGAGGGATTTGTACATTTGGCTACATGCATTCCTGCAGGCCAGATCAGCTTTCAGAAATGAACAGGCATTTTCTGCTATTTATAAAACTTTCCTCTTACCTAACCAGCTCTTCAAAATGACCTGTGCAACTTACTGAAGCCACCAGGGTTTCCCATTGAACACGCTGACTGAAAAGGTGGTGTTGAGGAAAATGTTTATTTCCCATTCTATAATATTGCTCTGGATTATAATAACTTTTTAAAATTACAATACTTGAAAAAACTTTCCTTCCTCTTCCTCATCACTGTCAGTTACATTGACAATGTAAGTACTGGAGGGAGAAGATGGGGGGGATGGCAAAACTTCCTCCACCACTCCCACATCCAGCTGTGGCAGGGGGCTCAGAATTCGCTCCTCACTGCAGGTGCTCTGACAGGACACGATTTCAGGGCTCCTACAGACAGGCTGGTTCTCACATAGCCTCTCCTCTGAGTATGCCCTGAAATGATAGTCTTCATCCACAGTGGAAAATATCACCTCCTGCCTCTGGTTCCTCTCCTCATAAAAGCCAAAGCACTGAGGCACTGAGCTGGAGAAATTCCTGTAGCCAAACGGAGCTCTGAGTGGGAATGTGCTGCAAGGGAAGAGATTCAAGGTTGGCTTTCAGAAATGCAGGGCTGCACAATGACACTGAGGTTCTGTGCTACTCAGCTCATCTCATTTTTTAAAACATACAAATTTAAAACCATGCCTAATTTCAGCACTAGGGCCATAACAAGAGTAGTTCAGATTCCATTTCTGTGCATAAGCATCTCTTCAACCTCATGCACACATGAGGTTGCTCTGAGAACACAAAGTCCAGTGTATTTATCAATCAAATAATACCATAGATAAACCAGCATGCAGCGAGTTAACCAACATACTCAGATTAATAAAACAAAGCATCAAAAGTCAGTTTGTGTAATTTCTGTATGCCAAATTTTGTGACAGACCTGGGGTAAAACACTCTTATTTGTTATTTTTAGTGAGATCTTACATCTGTTACACTGTTATCAAACAGGACAAGTAATCCTTGTGCCCAATATGTGGTTGTCAATGTTAATATTTAAAGAATGCACAGTGATAAATTTTTAAAAAGTAACCACATAGTAAATTGCAGGAAGTTACTATGTCAAATGGAACTGTATTGCTCCAGTGGCAGATGCCTGAATTTTTATTCTGTTGCAGAAAGACAAATGAATTGCAATTTACAGTGTTTTAGGGAAATTCACTACCTTGTGAAGAAAACAAAAATATGTAAAGAAGTAATAGAGCTCCACAGTCCAGGCATTGTAAAGACATGGATACGATATCTATTGAGGCTTCTAGGGGACTAATCATCATTCCAATCTAATATTTATATTTTTAGTGCATACATCTGCACTTCAAGTTCAGAAATCATGACTCTTGTATGCAAGAAATGAGTTTATAGGACAGAGAACTTATAAATCACTGTATTAGAAAGACCCTGGCATTAGCAAAGCTGGCATTCAGCTGGCATTAATGGACTTCAGAAGTCCATTAATGTGTGAAATCAGAACAGTCTTTTATGATAAAAGAACTCACCCCTCTCGGAGGCCTCACAAAACCATCTCATTTCAGACACCAAGGACTGAGCAAAGATAATTTTTAGCAATTTTGGGAATATGTGTTCTATGTTTCCTTAAAGTACCTCAAAAACAGAAATGTCTTGTATTGCACTTGTCAGCTTAGGAAGTTCTTCTAAGTTTGATGGGTCATCATTGGTCCTAATTAAAGACCAGGTGGTCTTATTGCCACAGAAACACATTGGTTACTTCGACTAGTGAGAATAGTAGTAGTAGCTTCAGTGAATAAACAGGCAAAATTTAAGTCTAATAACCATAATAATTTGTTAGGTTTGCTACTGCACAGTCATGAAAACAAAACCATGCCCTGTAAAGAATAAGCATCAGATGCCTGGTCTTCGAGCTGCCCACCTACACCAGGGCACTGGTGCTTTCTGTGCATGTTCAGCCCACAAACACCCACAGGACACTACATGTGTTAGCCTGGAAATTCTTTGATTAGGAGACCTCTGATTGACTGAAAAGGAAGAACTAGGAATTACTACTTACACAAGAATTCTGCAGACACTTCCCACCAGGCTGGGTTTCAGAAATATTAGCACTTATGGTAATCACAGTGTACCCAGGAGACACCTCTAGGACATACCCACTCTAATTCTATCTGACCATTTTCAAAGTATATTTACATTATCTCTACCTAATGCTCTTCTGCCAAAATCAACTGCACTTATACCCATAAAGTGGAAAGAAGATATTTCTGTTTGCTATGGCCTTGGGACTGCCAATTACTGCAACAGTTCTATGGAGCTGTCAATAACTGGGCACGTATTACGAGCAGGCTGAGGCCAGGGGGTCCCAGCACAGGAAGGTAAGAGCTCCTTTCCCTCTGAATGCTCCACCTGCTGTCTGCAAGTCAAAAGATTCTCTGCCTTTCAGCATTTTTTTCTTACTGGTATTGAAATAGTTTCATTACCTTGAGGGGAAACACCGAGGTCCAGGTATAAAGGAAGGCTGGCAAAATGGAAACTGAGGAGTTCCTCCAAACAAACTGGCTGGCTGTCCAATGGGAGCAGACACATAGGCAGGTGAGGGAATAAAAGGTGTAGCCTGGGGGAGAGCTATGCCTCTAGGAAAAACAGGAATCCCTGGGATCTCAGTGTTAGAGACAGAAAACCTGCCACTAGTGCTGCTGATGTTACTTGGGTTTCTGTTGCTGAAGCTCTCAGCGAAAACGGGTGCAGGTCTCTTCAGGGAGAAATTGAGCCCAGGTGATACAAAAGCTTCTGTCTGAGCAGGCTCAGCAAAGTGCTGTGATGAAACTACAGGGTGCAGGGGCAGGGTTGGAACTGCAACAGCCACTGATGTGGTGCTTGCAGCCGTGGTCTGGAAAAGGGTCATGGGCACAGTGTGCTGGATTGAAGAAGCCGTCAGACGGATGGCAGGAGACTCACCTTCAGGAAACAAAAGAGTTATTTATCACACATGGACAGAGAGTTCTGATAAACAGCATCATAGCAAACCACAGCATTTCTGGGTACAGAGAGAATAATCCCCCTGGGAGTTCCCAGCAACTCATGTCACACACCTAATGTGACACCATTCTGAGAGACGGGTTTGGAGCCCACACATTAAAGCTTCATTGCACGGAAACCCACGGGTGGAAGGAAGTGGCTGATGAGGGTTCATTGCTCTGGCGAGGCTATGTCTTATCCTAATAAGGCCCCACAATGGGTTGGAGTGTGCCTTCAGCTCTGAAGACCTCACAAGTCTACTGATATGAAGTAAGCCAAATTTATAACAAAACTGTGTGCTGAGGAGCCTAAAACACCTTATTTCATTGATGAAATAAGGAAACACCAATATGTTTCCTTATTTCATCAATGAATGTACCCACTAGACAATATTACTTTGAAATGTTTTGCAGAGTACAAACTTCAATGTATACCCTCAAATCACACCCCATCAACAGGGCTGCCTTTATAGGGAAAGATTTCAAAAAATATCACATAGGAATTTTCAAACATCACTAACTCAGAATTACACCAGAACAAAGCTGAGTGTTCTTTTGTTTTAATATCTCCAAGTATTACCACACAGCATAAACAGGAATTTAATTTTCTTGTCTCATTGCAAAGAAAGCAGCCCTTTCCAGGATACTTAGAGGAAAATGCCATTGCCTGGATCTGAGTTACTTGCTGTTGAAATTCACTATCCATGCCCTGAGACAGCCAGAGCTCTTTGTCTAAGGAATATGTAGATGAGCTCTTGCACTGGTCTGGGGGCTCTCACACTATTTCACTGCCAGTGTTGACTTTTTGTAAAATAGAAGGATCCTTCCAGGATATCTATGAAGTGGAGACCAAAAAAGTGAAAGAAGCAGCTGTAGCTTAATATCTTAAGTAGAAAGAAGTGCTGGCAAATAATCACACCCTCTCTGGGCAACCTGTGCCAGGGCCACACCACGCTCACAGCAAAGTTTCTTCCCAACATCTAAGCTAAACCTACTCTCTTTCAGTTTGAAGCTGTCCCCCCTTGCCTTGTCACTTCTGCAACAGGTAAATTCTGAATTTTTAAAATAATTCACTGCTGAAAACTCACAGATTGGATGTCCAATGCTGTTCTTACCACTGGAGTTGACAAAAGAATAAGTAGGTGATGAGAAGGGAAGGGTGCCAGCTGGATTTGTAGTGATGGTACTCTGGGAAGTGCCCAAAAATGCAGCAGAGCTAGGTGGTGGAGAACACTTCTTCCTGTTTGGCTGATAAACCCAACCTGTCAGAGATGAAAAAAAGATGCAGACAACCTATTTTGGATGGTTTCATTATTTATCTAAAGCTATGTTATCTGTAATTCTGAAGGATCTGATAAGACAAGTCCAAAACCTGCTCCTTTAGGCAATGGCAATGCTCCACTTGTTTTGGTGAGCTAGAAAAGGGGAATTTTACTGGAGATGGAAATCAAATAGAAGTATTTGGGTATTGTTTAGAAGTTACCAAATAATAGGTACTTGTGAGACAAAAAAAAATACCAAACACTGGGGAGAGATGTGGTCCACCTGAGAGACCACATTAAAGAGAACATGACACTCACTGTACCTTGGGCATTCAGTGTGGAGGAAAACCACAGGTATCAAAATGTGGTCTTTCCTCATGGTCTCCTTAACCCCTTAAGTCTCACGTCTATCTGCAGGTTACAAGATCTAACAGAAAATAGGACCCACTGGGAAACCTGGCTAGATTGTGGAAGAGCACATTTGCCTTTGCCTGACAACATTAGCCAAACACTAACAGACATAAGAATATATCATGAATTTACACTGAGCTGTTTGGTTATTTTCACAGGTTAACTCTTGATGCAACTTTAAAGAAACACCTTTTTTTTTTTTTTTTTGAAAGATGCAAGGAGAGAAGGAGAGTGATGCTCTTGTCTTTGTTTATGACAGATTAGGCAGGATCATGAACAAGCAGCATTATGACAACAGAGAGAAACTATCACAACACTTGATATCTCAACAGCTTTTTAAAAGTGTTTTACATTCTGTTATCTTCTGGATAAATGAAATTGTTAAGGTACAAATTTTAATGCCTGACAAAAGGCTGTGAAACATTTTCCACACCATTATGTGGGAATCTCAAGTCTACATGTTGAAGAATCCCACAGGATACAATGCTGTTTGTGCTTCCTGTGACATTTCCCTTTCCTGCTTTTAAGAAATGGACATATGTGTCACCACAGGCCACCTGGGCAGCTGTTTCTGTAGCAAGGAGATTGATGCAGCAGGCCACACAAACTCACTCTGTGGCCATTAGACTACTAAAGCATTCAAAAAAGCTGCTGTAGCTGCAGTGTCCTAAGCACCAGCATTTTGGATGCTTTAAAAAATTGTTTCAAGCACACAGAAGAATTGTGTGCTTGAAATATCTGTACTTTTTTCCTATCTCTATTAATTGCCATAATGCAAGGGATCAATTTTCCAAAAAGCCCTGCACTTCTAAAGCATTCAGGTAAATAACTAAGATGTTTACCAGGAAATTCCTCCCTGTGCCTCAGCTTTATTTTGTTAGCTTCCTCATAATATGGCTGCTTCTGTTCTTCAGTGAGTTTGCTCCACTCCAGGCCGAGCTGAACGCTGATCTCTGCATTGTTGGCGCCGGGGTTGGCTTTGGCCACAGCAGCCCTGTGGATGCGAGCCCACACCATGAACGCGTTCATGGGACGCTTCACACGGCCGCTCTTGGTCTTGCTGAAAGGAGTGTCTGGCATCCCTGTGCAACAAGGCAAGGAAAGATCAGCATCTTCCAGGGAATGCAGCAGGTCAGAATACCACACCCACAGGGTATCTGGCAACAGCATCACCAGAGCTTTGGACAGATGAGAGTGCACATTTAGAGAGCAGTTCCTACAAAATCCCCCACTGCCTTTTGCTGGGTCACTGCACAAGAATCAGTTACCTGTCTTTTCTTACGTATAATTAAAAAAAACAAAAAAAAAAGGAAATAAACAGGGCTGCTAACACACCAGTATGGATTTCAGTTGGTTTGTTTTCTTATGAATTTATAACCTAATCACTATATAGCACAGACCACACCACTGCAAATTTATTATCACCACCAGAACTATGTAACCAAAACCCTAAGGATGCAGAGACTAGGATTAAGGATGGGGAGGCTGCTTAGTCCCACACCTGTGCAATCCCTGCCTGCTCAACCACGGGTGTTGCTATTTTGTGTTTCTGCTTGGGTTTTGTTGAGTTGGTTTTTTTGAGATATATATTTTTTTCTTTTTTTTTTTTGCATTTTGACACTCGTTTTGTTGGATTGTTACATGATACCTGGCTTTGGCCCTTTTTAAACACAGGCTGCATTTAAATTGAGCTGGCAACATGATGAATCCATAGGCCCCTTAAAACTGATCCCTGAGCAAGCAATTTCCTCCTGGAAAAGGTTTAGAAATTAACTCTTTCACCTCATTGATAAAGGGGAAAAGTCTTTAAGACCTTACTTAAGTAATTAATTTTGAATGTCTAGATATTAAAAAAAAAAGCTTCTAATATAGATGTTTCAAAATGCTCTTTGTTTAACATGTCCAGATTTTTTCAGAGAGATATATGACTATTTTATACTTTTAAAAATCAATCAGATTCCTGACCTTAAAACTGCAATCACAACTCAGTGTAATTCTGAACCCTGTCCTAAGGGGTTCCATGCAGACAGGGAGCAACATGACAAAACTGCCTTGATGGTAACAAACCACTACAGAACTCTGTGCTCCGGTGCTTTTGTGTCTTACACTGTGCAAGAGCTGTGCTAAACCTAGCCTTTGCAAAGGGATGGGTTTCTCACATGACCTTTCTTTCCACTTTTCTCCTGCCTGATAAGTGGTCACCTGTGTGCCACCCTGCAAGCTCTCTGACCATAATACCTGAATCCGAGGGCAGGACTGTGAGGGGAACGTTTTTTGTTTCAATCTTTGGCCGCTGCAGTAGAGGCTGCAATTGAACTGCCACTTGTTTTACCGGCACTGGAGTCACATGCATCAGCTGCGAGGGCAAAGGGCCTTGGAGCTGTACGTGGGACACGGGAGGTAAGGACTGAAACAAGACCGGGACGTTCTGATCTTGAGGAGCGTTCCCAAGCTCGCACAGGGATCCAGACAGGGCATCAATCTTCTCCACCTTTTCTGGCCGGGCCTCATAGGCCACGTTGGGCCAGGGCTTATTCCTAGCTTGCTCCAGGACCTTCTCCTCGTTCTGGCGGTCACCGCTGCCCCTTTCACTGTCCCTTTCTCTCCTGACAGAGCTGCGGGCCTCTTTCTCAACGGCCGCCGAGATGCACCTGCTCCTCTTGGCGGCTCCTTGGCTGGGCCCGGGCCGGCTCGGGCGCTCCTGCGCTGGGCCGCGCAGCCCCCCGAGGGCGCCCATGACCTCCCCGTGCCCGGGGGGCTCGGCGGGGCTCGGCCGGGCGCGGAAGCGGCAGTGCCTGAGCCTGCGCTCCATCGCCCCGCTGCCGCTCCTCGGCCGCCGCTACCGTTGCGCCAACGCTCCCCGCGGCCCCGCGCCGCCGGCACGCACCGAGCCCGCATCCCGCACCAACCGCGGGGCGCGCCCCGAGCCCCAGCCCCGCCGGCTCGGTCGCGCTGTCCCGGCCCGCGCCCGCCGCCGGGGCCGCCCCGACCGCCCATCCCGCGCTCGTCGCTCGGCGCGCTCGGACCGCGGCGCACGGGGGGCCGGCTCCGCCCGCCGGCTCCGCCCGCCCTCCGCCGGCACCACCGAGGCCGGGCGCCGCGCCTTCCGCTTCCGCGCCGGTCATGCTGCGCCGCTGCCGGGCGGCTGCGGCCGTCGCTGCCGGCTGCGCTCCGGGCTCCCCGTGCGGCCGCCGCGGCCTCGCCATGGCCAAGAGCAAGTTCGAGTACGTGCGGGACTTCGAGGCGGACGACACGGTCCTGCCCAACTGCTGGATCGTGGTGCGGCTGGACGGCCGCAACTTCCACAGGTGCGGGCGCTGCGGGGACCCCGCGGGTGCGGGCCTGGGGTGCCCGGGTTACGCGGGGCTGTTGCTGTCCGGCCTGTGGGTCCTGCAGGTGCGGGGTTAGAGATCCTCGTGTCCCCCACTCGGCCTCTCCAGGGCACGGAATTCCACCGGGATTTTGCTTTCACGGGCGGCTTCATAGCCGGGTGGTAGGGAATGGTCCGGGAAGGGAAATGATGCCAATGCCTTGGGTGTGCTGGGGAGGGACAGCAGCGGCTCTGCAGGGATGTGTACTCATGTTTGGAGTCGCTCTGTGTGGCATTTGCCTTCCTTCGGCATAAATGGGGCACAGTTCTCCCGCTTAGTAGGTAACACAAGTTCTTGCTGGGATATTATGTCTGGTTTTGGTAAAGCTCTTGAGTTTCAACAAGTTTATTGATAATGTTGCCTGTATTGGACTGAATATTAAAGATACCCTGTGAGAAAGGGAGTTTACAGAAAGTAGTCTCTGTTATCCATTTCCAATTAAAATACATAAACCAGCTTCTTTAAAAGACTGGTTAGGGTCACATACTGGTGGGATGGAGAATGGGTTATCCAGAGTGGATAACGAGGATTTTTGTTCCTGCTTTTCATACCTGGAAGAAATTATTTTGTCAGTATTGACAGGATACTGGAAATCAATATTCATATAAAGCAGATATAATGAAAACGAATGGGTTAGCATTTTTAGTAGCTTTTAAAGGGACTCTTATGCAGCCATTTTTGCTTTGAAGGTTTTCTGAACAGCATGAATTCAAAAAGCCAAATGATGACCGTGCTCTGCAGCTGATGACCAAGTGTGCCCAGACTGTGATGCAAGAACTGGAGGATATTGCTATTGCTTATGGACAGAGTGATGAATATAGTTTTGTCTTCAAAAAGAAGAGCAGGTGGTTTAAAAGAAGAGCAAGGTAACAGCTGCTTTGATACTGAAATGAATTTGTTTTTAACATCTCTTTATAATTCTTCTTCAGGTTTGTCTTTACCTACATACAGAGGTAAGGAGGAGGGCTGGTGCTTACACTGCAGTTAGTTCAAGTTTTTTATGTGGATTCTTTACATGTGATGTTTCAGGAAAATATGTTCAATAATACAGAGTTTGTAAAAAAGTTATATAAACAACTTATTACAGTCAAAACATTATAAATGAACATTCTTTTAAGAAGATGTTACAATTCTCCGTTCCTCTGTTGTTCAAAAGTTTCTGTGCCATTCCTCATCTGTTTGGCCATTATTTAAGAAATTCTGCCCTCCATTAGTTATCACTACTGGTACCTCAGATAAGCACAGATATATAATCACACCCATGTATTTCTTTCTTTTGTTTTCTCGTTCTGTGTTTGCAAGTAAGTTCATGACTCATGTGGTCTCCCAGTTTTCCTCAAGTTACGTGTTCTATTGGAAGGATTACTTTAAGGACCAGCAGCTTCTGTACCCACCAGGATTTGATGGACGAATCGTGTTGTATCCCAGCAACCAGAATTTGAAGGACTACCTCAGCTGGAGGCAAGCAGATTGTAAGTGTTCCCACAAAAGAGAGATTTGTGCAGTTGAGTTCATTTCTCTGAACAGAAATGGCTTTTCTGCCAGTGTATTTGCATATACAGTTGTCAGTGAAAGAGCAGCAGGTAGAGTGGTGGTTTTCAATACTATTACACTTGTTCTGGGCTTTGTAATGGGTACTGGCTGAAATTTCGAGTGTTCAGGCTACAACTAAATTTATTGTATCCTGAGAGTGAATTCAGCACAAGAAATATTAGAACTGCTAATAGAATTAATCAATTAATTTTGATGTTCAGAGTTGGCTTAGCCAAGGTAATCTTTAATGGAGACATGTGACTATTCAAGTTTGCAGCAGGTAATAATCAAAAGTGCTGAATATTCCATGTTAGAACAGACCATTGGATTTGTCTCTAGACCTTTGTCAGTACCTAGTCCCTTTTACATTATACATAAATACCCTTCAGCCTCTTCTGTGCCCTTTTCACTTACGAAATCAATCTTCTAGTCATGATATGCAGTACTTAAAAAATGTATTATAAATATTGTATCTTCTTTAGAAACTGATTATATTAATTCCCCATTACTCTTGGCTGTTTCTTGGATACAGCTCTGGAAATAAAGCTGTTTTTTCCTAAGTAGTCACTCAGATTTGGTAAATAACCGTCCTCACACTCATTTCTGTTTTTTCCCTAGGCCATATTAATAACCTGTATAATACAGTGTTCTGGATGCTTGTGCAGCGAGGTGGTTTGACACCAGTGCAAGCACAGGAGAGGCTTCGGGTAAGAGTTTGCTGAAGTCATGTTTTTTTACAGCTAAGAATTAAAGTGTCTTGCCTGCCCAGCAGCCCTGGCTTGTTTATTCTTAATGTAATAATTTTGTAGGTGTAGTCAACAACTTTGGCAATTCTGCAGATATTAATACCACTAGCAAATAATGTAATTTTGGTCAAGTATTAGCAGGGTTTTAAGTTCTTAGTTGTCAATTTTAGAAATATTAGAAAAGTCATAAAATGTTCAGTATCCAAACCCATGAGGAACAGTGGCAGAATTGAGGTCCTGTTGATTGCCTGTCCCTTCTGTTGTGTTTTGTCTCCTTGTGTAGACTTTAGCAGATTATTCCTGTTTTCTCCTGGAATCTGTTGACTGTCTTCCATTTGTCTTGAAAATGTAATAAAAACCCTCTTGGAATTAATTCCTCTGTTGTGAGAAGTAATTAAGCCTTGTGAGTTAAAGGTGAAAAACCTTTACAAATGTCTGTCTTGCTTCCAGTATTCACCCCTCCTCTATCCTAGAGATACAATTTGTTTGTTTTCTCTAAGAGTATTTTTCTTTTCCTATCCTCTCAGGGAACTTTGGCTGGAGATAAGAATGAAATCTTATTTTCTGAATTCAACATCAATTACAACAATGAACCTTTGATGTATAGAAAAGGAACTGTCCTAATATGGCAGAAGGTAAAAAATCCTATTGCCACTTGCTTTGGGCTGATATTTTAAATAGTTACACTGTGGCAGACATACTGCACTGTAAGAGCACCACATGCATCTTCAGTGTATGTCTAGGAATAAATATATCTTAAAATTAACTATATTTACCATATAATTGTGTGTAAGATGACCCATTATTTTGGAGATATTTTTGAGAGCTGTTTCTATGAGCTTAATATGAAAGCCAGTCTCTGCAGTCTGGTTTAGATACAAATTATGACCATTGAGATGAAACATGTATTAGCAGATGACAATGTGTGTATCATTTGGGCCAGGCCCTTCCCAGAGTTAGGTCCCAAGTATATCCATGGCAAAGGAATTGCAAAACTTCTGTTCAATAAAGTAGCTCAGCTCATAACTTAGTCATTTTCTGCTTTAAGGTAACTTGGAAATGTTCACTGTCCTACAATTGCATCATTGATTTAGTGGGAGAAATTCCTGTCCTGTGGTTTTTTTAAAATTCTTTTTATTAGAATTTTTGAGTCCACTCTGAGCCTTTTATGTCTGCTAATGTGTCAACTGTATTTTCAGGTTAATGAAGTCATCACTAAGAAAATAAAACTGCCAAAGGAAGAAGAAGAAAAAGAAGTGGAAGTGACCCGAACTAAGACTAAAGTTGTTCCCCTGCACTGTGACATCATTGGGGACCAGTTCTGGGAGGAATATCCTGAGATTCTGGCAGAGGACAGTTGATATCTCTGATGAGCATAACTGGTAATTTACATTCTGCTCTGCTGGGGTTGTTGGCAAGTGAGGAATACAAATGGTGGATGGCAGAGTTTGACCTGGAGCCCTCTTCAGCAGCTACATTGGGTTTAGCACTGTTGCTGCCTAAAAAGAAGACACTGGTGCTGTCTGACATACAAGGATATGCCCATATGGAAAGCTAAAATCATACTATATTTTGAATGTTAAGAACTCATCATGAATTAAGACTGTTCCTACCTTGTACATGTGTATTTGTAAAAAAAGTATGTAGAAATTTCGTGTATTTCTATAGCATTTAAACAATGAGGTATTTTATTGTACTGCTGAACGATAAAAAAGCCCAAATATTTGAACATAAAATTATTCGTTTGATTTTTGTTTTAACTGAGATGGACCAGAATACTTCATTTGGGATTTAGTATTAATTTTCAAGGCTGGTGTGTTTCGTCAGATGAGTGATAAACGGTTCAGCTGCCTGAGGTCTGATTCTTACTGAAATGCAATGGGAGTAGCCCAGCACTTTTCTATGCTTGATTTATTTGTCAAATGTACAGAATTTTTATACTTTTAAAAAATATAAATAATAGTACGTTCCCTGCTATGTTTTATTATGTGGTCTTTCTCATTCCGGTGACTTGAACTAGGAAGTGGTGACAGTTCCAAACAGTGAAGTTAATAATAAAGATACTGTACAGGCTGGAATTCTGTTAGGACATGGATAGATCTTTACTTATATTCCATGGCCTGGGAATTCACCTGTCTCCTATTTGCACAACACAGCATATTTGAAAAAAAAAAAAAAATGCAGCACAACATAGCAGAACATTCCAGGTGCCTGAAAAGAGGGAACCAACAACAATTTGTGCTGCTGCTTTCTGATCTCCCTGGGAATGACACAGAGCAGTGCTGCCAATCCATATTTGTTAGAGGGAAGGGAGGAGTGTGTGTTGCCTGCTCTATGCACGGTTCTGTTCTGGTTTAACTGTCACTTTGTCGAAATTGACCTCTCAGAGCAGAAATATTTCTGCTTATAGATAGGGTTTGTCCCAGTGTAACAGGAATTTGAGGGAAATAACCTATTTCAGTGTGGAAATACAGCTATAATGATAGGTGCTTATATGGCTAGTACTGCTTCTAACCAAGCTGCTTGCAAAAACATCCAAAACCATGGCCCAGCTGTTGCTAACAAAGACATGGTCAGCAGTTGGGACTGGCCATAAGAAATAGGAAGGATCAAGTGTGTACTGAGTTAGATTCCTGTGAATTCTCTTATCAGTCTACTCTGTTTCCCCTTCCTGATGAAGAACGTACACAATTAAGGCATTGTGGTTTTGGTGTTTTTTTCTCAAAAAGAACCCTGACCAGGTAAACTTCAATTGTGAGTTGTTCCTGAGATTAGGCAGTGAGTCTGTGAGTTTATAATAGCACAGGGCTTCCCCCTCTCCTTCTCTGTACCAAGTAAGTACATGCAATGAGAGAATGTATTTTGTTTTTAGTTTGTAGAATGGGCTGCATGATTCCTAGGAAGAGGATGTGGCTTGGTGGTAAGTGATTCAGAATGAATCATTGCACCAGTCATTTACTCCTAAGAACTTTGTCTGTTGGTTTTTTATCTTCTAACATAAATGCAGTTTACTCAACTTTGAAATTCCATGTTACTGCTTGGTGCCTGACTTTGGACACTACATATGAAGCAACTGTTCCAGAACTGATAACAGCTGGATTTACTCAGCCTGGTAACAGATGAAACATAAAAAAAAAAATAATTTGGCAGCCATGATTTATGTTTGGAAAGTATTACATAGTTTTTTTATTTTATATATTATGACTGACATACATTCTACAGTATCTTTATGTATGTACATTGTGTGTGTATATAAAAAGCAGATCTGTATTAGGTCATAGTGTTTTCTATTTAACTCATTCTTACAATAATATGTAATAAGTCAACATAGCTGTTCACATATGGATGCAGACTTTGGAACTGAGATCAGGATTGTCTATACATCCACAGCCTTTAATTTGTATTAAGATAAATGCTAGAGAAAGAAACTCCCTGTGGTATCCTCATGT